AAAAAAAAAAAAAAAAAAAAAAAGAGTCATACTAGGTTCACAAAATGTTTTGAGAATTGTTCCTTTTTTTTATTTTCTGGAAAACATTGTATAAAATTGTCAATTCTTCCTTAATATTTGGTAGAATTCTCCAGTAAAATCCTCTGTGATACGAGATTTCTTTTTGGGGAGTTTTCTTTTCTTTTCTTTTCTTTTTTTGAAACAGAGTTTTGTTTCACTCGTCTCGCCCAGGCTGGAGTGCAATGGCTCAATCTCAGCTCACCGCATCCTCCTCCTCCCGGGTTCAAGTGATTCTCCTGCCTCAGCCTCCCGAGTAGCTGGGATTACAGGTGAGGCACTACACCCGGCTTATTTTTGTATTATTAGTAGAGACGGGGTTTCACCATGTTCATCAGGCTGGTCTTGAACTCTTGACGTCGTGATCCACCTGCCTCGGCCTCCCAAAGTGCTGGGATTGCAGGTGTGAGCCACTGCACCTGGCCTTTTTTTTTTTTTTTTTTTTTTTTTTTTTTTTGAGATGGAGTTTCACTCTTGTCACCCAGGCTAGAGTGCAGTGGCACAATCCTGGCTCACTGTAGCCTCCGCCTCCCAGGTTCAAGTGATTCTTCCACCTCAGCCTCCTAAGTAGCTGAGATTACAGGCGCCCACCACCACACCCCGCTAATTTTTGTATTTTTAGTAGAGACAGGGTTTCTCCTTGTTGGTCAGCCTGGTCTCAAACTCCTGACCTCAGGTGATCCGTCCACCACGGCCTCCGAAAGTGCTGGGATTACAGGTGTGAGCCACTGTGCCCAGCCTTGTTCCTTGTTTTATTGATTTTCTTTATTTTGTTGTTTTCAATTTCATTAGTTTCTACCCTCACCTTCCTTCCTTCTTGCTTTGAGTCCATTTCGCTCTTTTTCTAGGTTCTTATGGTATGAACTTAGGTTATTGATTTTAAACTTTTCATCTTTTCTCCTGTAAGCATTTAGTGCTATAAATTTCCCTCTCAGCACTGTTTTATCTGCATCTGATATTTTGATATGTTGTATCTTTTTCATTTTGTTAATGAGTTTTTAAAATTTCCTTTGTTACTTCTTTGACTCATGGATTGTTCAGTAGTGTTGCTTAATTTCCAATCATCTGGAGATTTTCCTGATGTCTTTCTATTACTGATTTCTAGTTTGATTCCAACGAGAACATTTTGTATGGTTTCAGTTCTTTTACTTTTGTTGAGGTTTATTTTATGGCCAGTGATACTGTCTGCGGTAAATGCTCCAAAGTCACTCGGGAGGGAAAAAAAGCGTATTCTGCTGTTGTTGAGTGGAGTAGTTTATGTATGTCAGTTAAATCCTGTTGATTCATTGCACTATTCGGTGCTCTTGCTGTAGTTGTTTCAGTTGTCGAGGGAGATGGTGTTGAAGTCCCCTGTTGTAATTGGGTATTTGTCTGGTTCTCCTTTGAGTTCTATCAGCTTTTGCTCTGTGTACTTTGGGGCTGTTTTGTTTGGTACATACACATTTAGGAACATTTTGTCTTCCTGGTGAATTGATCTTGTTATCATTATGTAATACTTCTTTTTCTTGTTGTTTTTCGAGAGGATAGTCTTGCTCTCTTGCCCGGGCTGGAGTGCAGTGGCGTGGTCTCAGCTCTCTGCCTCCTGGGTTCTAGCGATTCTCATGCCTCAGACCCCTGAATAGCTAGGATTACAGGTGTATGCCACCACACCTGGCTAATTTTTGTATTTTTTAGGAGAGACAAGGCTTCACCATGTTGGCCTGACCAGTCTCGAACTCCTGGTCTCAAGTGATCTTCCTGCCTTAGCCTCCCAAAGTGCTAGGATTACAGGCATGAGCCACTGTGCCCAGCTATATTTCTTTCATTTCTAGTAATTTTTCTTGCCTTGTAATTCACTTTATTTGATATTAATGTAGTCACTTCTGGCTTTTTTTTCTTTTTTTGGTCAGTGTCTGTAATGGTGTATCCTTTTCTCACTTGTACTTGCAACCTAGTTATATACCCTTGTATTGGAAGTGAGTTTCTTGTAGAGAACATATTGTTGGATGATTTTTTTAATCCACTCAGCCAGTCTCTGTATTTTAATTGGTCTGTTTAGGCCAATTACATATCAGGTGAATATGGATATGTTGGGACTGAAGTCTGTATTTTATTCATTTTTTGTCTTGATACTCTCTTTTTCATCCCTATGGGTTATGTGCATGTTTTCAGGAATTCATTTAGACTAATGTATAATGTTTTCAGTGTATTGCTCTGTGTGGTTTTCTCGGTTGCTCTGGGTGTTACAGTGGACACATGTAACTTATCACCGTTTGCTGGAATCCACATTTTACCACAATGGACACAAGTAACTTATCACTGTTTGCTGGAATCCACATTTTACCACTTCATATGAAATGTAGAAGCCTTATTTCCACTTAGCTCCCTCCTCCTCCCCATGTGTTCAGTAGTCATGCACTGCATAATGACATATTCGTCAGTGATGGTCCCTGTACAGCAGGGGCCCATAGGATTCTGTGGACCTGAA